ATGACAAGCACGCGGTTCTTACAGTCGATTATGATGACTCCAAAATTAGCGGCAATCTTGTGTCGAAACTCTCCGTCGATAGCTAACTGTTAAATAGCTCCGCTGAATTCATGGCTGGTTTGTAGTTGGTGGACTCTAGGTCATACGGTGTGAGCGCATTTGTTGGCTGGCCAACCCGAACATTTATATCACCCACCAGAGACACCCGTACTTCTTGCAGACTGAAGCAACCGTGACCAATCTCTGTTGAACCGGTCTTTTTCAGCCTTAGAGCTGCAGTCTGTCGGAGCTTATGCTGACTGACATATATCGTTGGCCATGCCAAGATGAACTGATATTGAGTAAACTAGTCAATCTGACCGCGCAAGCGCGATTATTGACTGGAATCCAGTACAGCAGAGCGTATTCGACCCTGAGGTTAGGCAAAACTCCCACAATGTAGATACCACGAGCCATGGTATCAGGATCGTCAAACACCCGAAGAGTAAAGCGTCACGAATCTGGGTGAATGCCGAGCGGTTTGAGATGAGTGGCCCAAATAGAGTCAGGTATGCATGTTTCGAAGACATAAAATACACTGATCAAGAGAAAGAACGACGCCTGAGCGGTAGCAACCTGTTGCCCAATTTGACAGATTGCGCACGTTGAAAGCCGCGATGTTTGTCGGGTTATACCGATATACGTACTAAACTTAATTCCCACAAGATCCTTTGAATTTGATAAGATTTTGTTGATTTATTTTACAGGGCAGAAGCTTAAATATGGAGCAACGGTCAGGGAGGTGATGACTACGTAAATCAGAAGGACGTGGAGAAAAGACCTGTCGTGGTGTGACGTGGACGAGGAGCTACAAGGACTAGCGACACTTCTTGACCGCTTGGGCCGAGGAAGGACGTTTGGTGGAAGTACCCCAGGTTGAAGCTTTGATTCAAGTCTCACCCACAATGTAGTGGGATAGCGTAGGGGACACTTCTCTTGGCCTCTGGCAAAAAAGTCTGAGCGACAAGGAAGCGGTTGTTACAGTTTTCATCCGGCGCCCTTTACGGAGCCAGTGACTTAAGGGTCTTACCCGCTTGACTGGTATGGCCCGAGGGCGCAGGGAGTAAGGTACTCCTGTTTTAAACGTATATCGACCGTATTGAATAGTGCGCCAGTGGTCACGGTGAACCGTTGTGCGATCGGAGTACGTAATTTTAGGGCCGCTCTTTTCTATCCCTGCTGACACAACACTTAAGGAACGAAAACAACTGTCGATGGATGAAATAGTTGAGGGCATTAGAGTGTGTTTGAATGTCAATCAGTTTGTTTTCGACGCACCTGCTTATTCACAGAAACAAGGCCTTGCAATGTGATCTCCACTATCCCCAGTTTTAGCCAATATTTATAGGGACGACTTCAAACAAACGGCTTTGGCCGGATATCATTGTCCACCGAAAGTTTCTCAGAGTTATGTTGATGAAACCTCTGTTGTAATCAAACGTGACAACGTGAACAACTTCCACGACTATCTTAATAGTTCGAATTCTGACAAGAATTTAGCGTGGAGTCCACCCCGGCCACATTACCCTTCCTGGATTGTATAACACATAAGAGTGGTAGAAAATTAAAAACCACTAACTATCAGAAACTAACAGATACAGGAACCGTCCTAAATTACTCATCAGCACACGCAAAGTCCGTGTACGCCAGTATTGTCTCATCAATGGTTAGCCGAGTCAGAACGCTGTGCACAGAGGAGATCGACCGAACAGCAGTCCAAATAGAGATTGCCAACAGACTCCAAGAAATAGGGCACCCAGCGAGTTTGATTAGGCGGTAATCAAGGAAGATATTGGCTCCGGTATTTAGACTCAATAAGGATTGGATTGGCTAAGCAGTCATTTCATATAAAGTAGGAGCATCGTAGGGTATTCGAAGACTGCTGAACTTAGCCAGCATTCGAGTGGAAAAACGCCACGATCAGTTTTGGTGTAATTGGAAAACCTCCCCTCGGTCGGAAGGACTGTGTATAAAATTGATTGCAACGGTTGCACTAAGGTTTATATAAGACAAGCTGCCGGTGAATTGCACACCAGAATTAGTGAGCATAAAAGCAAGATAGATAAATCACCGAGGAATGGGCAGAATACCAAACACTGGTCAAAGATTCAGCGACGGCAATACGGGAGAATGTGGAAGTTACAAGGTGGGGACTGCGATTCACACCACAGCAGCTGATGGCCGAGGTTGCGGAAATTACCAGGAATCATACCGTGAATAGAGTCGAGGATATGGACCTGGCGAGCGCGTGGAAGGCAGTCTTAGATAAGCCGAGTTGACACGTGACTGTGTGATGGTCAGTGCACGTAGAATCATTGGCGAAATGGGGGGCGGAAATCCCAACCTCACAAAAGTTCACAGAATCCCTCTTCCTTACACAATCATCGTAGCACTAGCTTTCCACAAAGGCGGACGAGAAGTGCAAATGACTTTCAGGAGGGGTCATCACGTGAACCAAACTGGAAGAACTAGACCCTAACCTGGACTCAAATCCATTTAGGTTCCCCCATCTGCTTAACACTTGGTGACCCACCCTAACGCACAAAACCCATTGGCCGACACCTAACACAAACTTAGCTTAACTTATTTGATTGGCTCTCCTTTCGTCTTAAATCTCGAACAAGCTCGTAACCTATTCACTTGGCCATTTTGTCAAAAGCGAAATGCCGCCCAGCAACGCCGCAGGCTATTGACACGCCGAAATTGAGTTCGCCGAAACTATAGGGTTTTCGAAGTTGCCATTTTTATGTGAAGTTAGTCTAATCAATTTGCATCTTCCCGTGACATGTTGCACGTAGCATTTTGTTTAAGTGAGCAAAATGTCAAG